ACGCAAAACGAAAGTCCATTTACAGAACCCGTATGGAGTCACCAATCGCAGTTCACTAGCATACGCTATACACACAGACTTTATTTTGTTGGCCTACCAAGCATAATATGTACAGTTCTAATAATACGGTTTTTCAGAAAACGAAAATAATGACACAGTAGTCAGTAGTCGGAGTACAGTCCGTAAATGGGGTAAAACTAAATTTTTCCAAAAAAACTGTTCGAAAATTCAATCCGTAACATAACGTCGTTTCCGGTGAGCCGCCCTCGGGAAGGATCCAAAACGTAAAGTATGGAAACATACCGAAGCATATTCTGGTTCGTAAATTCCTAAGCCCTGTATAATAATATATTGATTCGCGCTCTGTGGCTATGATCGATTAACCAGGTTCACGATTTTGTTTTCTAATTTTGTTGTAATTCGGTTAAAAAAATTGGCCCTTACTTTTTCGGGTATTTTTATAGTCGTGAAATACAATTTTCAAAACAGTCTGGCGCTTTATAAATTGTACTTGCTGTATTAATATAATCGTTTTGAATTTTTCGATTTTTCTTGTTATTCGGTTTTATGGTGCGGATAAAATCGATTTGGTTTCTAAAAGACGGTCGGAAATTTGACGCAATTTTCATCTCATGAGTTTTTCTCAAGGCTATGTTAAAATATCCACAAAGGATCTTTATTATTATTATTATTTTTTTTTTGTTGATATTTTTAAGTTAGAATTTTGACGAAAACCGTACAAATAATCGAATAACCGCCGGTTCCCCACAGATTCTACCCCAGAGTACTATTTTTCAAACGTCACGCGCCTTAATTATACCTATATGCTAAAACGATTCTGAGCTGAGTAATATCATTAGTCGTGCAGTAACCCGGAAATCAAAAAAAAAGAAAAAAAAAACCCTACGCACCGACAGTTTATCGTTGATTTTTCGATTTTACGGATAATTCGCGAGAAATCTAAAACACAAATCTGTATGGGGGGGGGGAGAGGGCACCCACGCGAAGTTTTCCTAACAAAGTGTCCATCCTGTCCCCACCCTCCCCCCACAAAAAAATCATAACTTTTCCCGCACCCTCTAAATTATATACTGGTGTTGTTTCGGTATACATATACAGTGGACTGCGCCGAATACTGTACACACACTCGAACCTCCGCCGGACGCTGACACGTACACGTAACGAAACGGTCGCGCGCTCGCGCCGTGCGGATGTCATCGGCAAACCCGCGGGGGTCGCGCGCGTTGCTCTATGACAAATGACACAGTCGGCGCGAACCGCGGAGGACAAACAATCGGACGCGCGACCGAACGGTACACGCGTTGCTGCCGGCCGTGTACACACGCGCGCGACGACGACGACGGCGGCGGCGGCGGCGGCGGCGGCGGCGTCTGCGGGGCCGTTTTAAACAAACGATCGCGCCCGCGGCCAATACCGGAGGGCGAACGGCCGTCGGCGGCATCGCAGACAAAAAGACCGGACGCGGTAATTATTCAAAAGCGTCGCGCGCGCACGCACGCACACGCCTAAACGCGCGCGTACAACGAATACGCGTAAACGCACACGCACACACACACACACAACCGCAGAAGGGCAGCGTTCGAGCGGCGGTGAGGGGTGGGGGGGGTGAGTGGCGGTTAGGGGGAAAGCGTGCGGACGCGGGGCGCCCCGAACGAGCGCACGCGACCTCACGAATATTTATCATCGCGACCGCGACGCCGACGACGACGACGACGACGACGACCGCGGCGACGAGTTCTCAAGACCCGGCGTCGTCGCGCGCCCGGTTCCCTCAGTTATTCGCTCTGTCCGCGGCAGCTCGACCCGCGATAATTTATTCCTCGTTATAATAGTATGCCGGCGTTTTGCCGCCGCCGCCACTGCCGCGCGTCGCGGCGGCGGCTGTGCTATAATCATCACTGCCGCCGCTCCTACGCCCACCCCCGTGTTTTGCCCTCCGCCGCCGCCGCCGCCGGCCGACCGACCGTATAATAATAATATTACGCTGTGGTCCCGCGAAATTAATAATATATACGCGACCGCGTTAAACGAGCCCCCGCGCACGGTTAATTTCCGACGATATTTTAACGGCATACGCGCGCGCCTAAAAACTTTCCTCGCTGTCCCCGTTTTTTTTTTTTATTCTATAATCGCAGAGACGCGTACGATAATAACAATAACAATAATATTTTATTTGCAAACAAGCGACATCGTGATTTCCGTTAAAACATTATAACGTTATTATTAAAATGTCGCTCGCCTCCCTATAAGTGCAAAATAGCTCGTCCGGCAGGCGAGAGGTTCTTAAAATAGTAAATAATTAACGTACACGAAATACCGATATTGACGGTAAAATAATCCGGTCATTTACCTTTTACAGAATTAGAGATGCAGTAATATGAATTAAACACAATTCGATCAGTGACGAATTATTGTTAAACGCTAGTAGTGCGACATCATCTAACGTAATCTATATACAATGGCGAATATAACGAACAGTTAAATGAACAGATTAATGATTAATTTAAACCTAATATGTAACGTTTAAACAAATTAAATTTAGAGAAATTATTGATGTTTATTTCTGCAGTTTTGCAGAGCGTTATCGCTCGATTCATGCAGCTCTCATCTCTTAGTGCCCCAAAACGCTCATTATTGTAAGTCTGTACATTTACATGGATATTTACACGATCACATGTTTGATATGACGAACTATGGATTGCTTAGACGTGAATTATTTTCAATCCGCCGTTTAATTCGAGGCCCGTGAGTCATTTATCGTTCGCTTTCATATAACGGGCATGTCCGAGCTATACTACAGTTACAGTTATCACAGTGTGAAAAATTGACAACGGCACGGGACTCGTATTAAACGTCTGCCGTGCGGTTTTAATCGAAAGCATTAGTGTGATATTTTAATTATATGTTAGCTTATTATATCGCATACCTATATAATATAAATACAATTAGATATAAAATGTACGACGTATTCGAATGGAAAGTACTCTGGAAAATAAATGGCCGGCGTAAAGTATAGTATGTAAAAATACAGGGAAATGGAGAATCTTGACAAATAGGTAACCGACAGAAATGTGTCGAAATTAAAACGTCGTGGAAAATATTGCCGCTTACCTACTGATTGCATGCGGCGGGTAAAGGTAGGTCGATTTTAAGATCTGTGCTAGAACGCGTCCCGCAAGGGAAGATACCATTATAGCTTGGGCGTCCGAGATTGAGATGGATAGATAGAGTTAAGCTTTCATAACCCTGGAAAAAAAGCCACGAGTGAATTGACGGGAGTTACCGCAGGAAAAGAAAAGTAGTAGGCAGCTATATGCTGGGCGCCGAGGCGGGTCGTATAGATCGAAGCCGCTTTAAGGAGAAGAAGAAGAATAATACAAAAATAAAGTCAATATTTGTATACGTGAATATAAAAAAAAAAAATATCTGATATCGACGATGATGTAGATGCGTGGGAAGTGTTAAAATACATAACGATGATGGTCATTATCATTTTAATCGCTTAAAAACGATGTTAACGAGACCCTTTATAAGTGCGGTTGTGGCGATAAAAAAAAAAAATCCGACGACACGTTTTACCCATATAATGATAAAAAGGGATTAAGGTCAACTTTATACAATACATTTTTAAAACATCGTCCGGATAAAATATTAAAAAAAAATAATAATAAAAAATGACTCGTCTACCATCTGGAAAAGCGAAATATTATTATTCTCGTAAACCCGCATTTGTCGGCCACCGCACTCCAATTTTCGAAAATATTTATACATTTTCCTATATCCAAACAAAATCCGCTTTATTATCTATGGACTATATAGTAGCTTCTCGTGGTCCGCGATTCTGTCGTCTGTCTACGTAAGTCTGTTCATGCTCATCTAATATTTGGTCATCTCAAGATGACCGGGATGTCCAAACACTCCGTTTCTCTCAATTTCATTTTGTTCTCGCAATGTCAACTCCCATATTCTGTTTACTGTTCACCGTACTTCATACGACGGCGGAAGTCGTATGCCCATGTCCGGAGTGTTTCTAATTCGAGAAGCCCCCGAAAGGAAACGTCTACTCCCTACGTGACTCGGACACTTTTCCCGATCGAAAACCCCGATCGGTAACACAAATTTAGAAGCCGTTCTCACCGATATAAACGCTTTTGTTAATCTGGTTTTTAAACCGAGTTTATGATTGATAACCACACGATTGGTCTGCAGTTATCGTATAAGCTCCGTTTAAAAATCAACGTTCATCTTGGTGAGAACGGTCTTAAGAATTCTGTGGCCGATTACTGTAACCTATTTAACCGACGTGATTTTTCCATTCCCCTATCTGCTTTTATTCGAATCCTACGCGATTTTCTAGCGACCGGGCGTTCGGTTTACACTGCAACTTCATTAAAGCAATACACGGTTCTGATCAACAGCCGACACGTTAGGTTTTCGTTGTAGGTTGACGTAGTGTTATATTTTCGTTTTCTCCTACTCAACACGCGGTTTCGGGGAGAGCGTTTCGATAACAATGTGTACGCATCTCTGGCGGCAGGACTCACGGCCGTTTAGGTACGTAACTGCTGTTTAGGAAAGGCTTCTCCTGTATCGTAGACGTATCGGCGGCGGTGGTACATTATTGTCCGTACGTATTGCGGAATGACGCGCCCATCTGTTTCCTTCTTATATAGGTGATCTGCGCACCGTTAACTATTACCAAATCGGTCACCCATATACCACTCATTAAGTTATAGCGATTATTATTCGTGTTTCGATTTTGATACAAACACACTATGTTTTTTTAAACGTTTATAGTGATGAATAAATTAGTATTCTCCATAATGGGTACCCTATTATTAAACGAACAAATATTACAGCGGTATCGTGCGTTTTTACTATGTAATTTCAGTGGAAAAAAAAATAAAAATAAAAAAGTGTATTTTCGCGGTTGTTCCCCGTACATATAGGTGGTAACCGGCTGTACCATGCGGGTAGGTGTATATTTATTGCGTAACCGCGGCCCAATAAATCCAATAATACCCGCGAGATTATATACATAGACGAACGAGGAGGATATTGCCGCGCGGCCTCCGGGCGCCAAACGATCTTTTCGCCGTCAAAATTATTTAATATTGACTGTACCCGCCTGTACCTGCCTATTATTTAATTATAATATACCTATAAGCGCGTGTTTCGACTTCTAACGCCGCGCGCGTTATTACACTTCCGTAGTCCGTGTGTATGTACACCTACCTGCCTACTGTTACAATAGCAGTTGTCGACGATGCCGATCGAAAGCGAAACAAACGCATCGTTTTTGTGAATCTTTCGAATTTCGCACTGCGATCGGTTATTTCACATCTTCTCGAACAACGGCCCACGCGAAACCCGCGTACACGTACGTACCGATCACATTGTACCTGTACCGACATTTTCATTGTCCTCGTTTTAGTCGCACGACTCGTGTGACGTCTGAGCGCGAGACCGCGTATTTTAATTTTCCGACGGCCGTTGCCCATATCACCGTTTTTAATGTGTGCGTATCAAAAACGACTCGAAAACTATAAAAACTCTTAAATTTAAAACTAAAAAAAAAAAAAATTGTAGACGAATTTTTATTAGTAAATACGATAATCACAATATCACGATCAATTATTCTCGTTTACACGTGACGACACAATTTGTCTATAAAATGTGCAGTGTTATTCTTTATTATCATCGTATTTATAGACGTATGTACGCACGCCCATCATGCCGACCTGCAGTGCGTTTCGGGCGTTGGCCTATGCCGCCCCCTTAACGTCGCGGCCGCCGTTCGCAATCACTTAATAATTTCCATTACACTTGCTTACTTTTTTTTACTAACCAAAAGTCAATATTGAATGGGCGAGCTAAATATGTACATTATTTATACACATACACATACGCTACGCTCTTTGTTGTTATAATAATAGTTTGTCTACACACGGGTATTATCATAACACTTTTAATTTTATAATACGCGCTTCTTAATTGTTACTGTTCGTTTGTAATCGTATTAATTATCTCGAAACCCGCGGGTTATACTATTGCACGGCTATGGGATTTCTATCGATTTTTATGCCGGGCACGTATAAGGAATCCATCGGTCAGAAACAAAAACGAATTTGGTAAATTTATCCGAATCGATACGAAATATTGCGACGATACTTATTGTCATCGGCGAATTTGTTTTGTTCACTTCGGGCATGTCCCGCGCAGGAACATCATAATTGGTATACTCCAAACGAAATTCTATCGAAATCGTGCACATCACTCTATTCAACATATTTGGTTGATTTTTTTTTTGTTCCTCAAACAAACTTTATTCGATTCGATTATTTGTTATGATTTTCCAGTTCGAATACCGTACAGTTCATAACATCACAGAAATCATTGTTTATAGTAGGTTTACGATTGAGAGCAGCAATTAGTTTTACTAAAATGTGCATTTTCTTTTCCTGGATACACTTTTTCGATTAGTATTAGAATTACTACGAGTCGTTTTTCGTTTGCAATGATTGATTGATGTTGCACACAGTATACTAATGAACTAAATTATTCCGTTCATCCTAACCGCTTCCTTAACCTATCCCAACAATAGCGGCCTGTCTAAGTATTAGTTGCGGTTTGAATCGGTATGATAGGTATACAATTATAATATTATAGGCTGCAGGTATCGTATTATTATATCGTTAGCAGAGTGTTCGTTAATATGATATTTTCCGAGTTTAATTAATACGTAGAGGCAATTTTTTGTTTTTGTTATGTATGTAGATTTTTTTTTTTTTGTCTACTGCGTATATAATAAAAACGGGACGAGGTTCGAATATACGGTACTATTTAACGATATTATTATTATTATTATTATTATACCTATAATAAAACGGCTTACGCGGGCGGCGGCAACGGTTTAATTGTACGCTAGTACAAAACCCCGTATGAGTATATTACGGTATTGAATCGATTTCGCTTTTGTTTTTTCTTCTTCTCGAAAATTAATTAATATTTTTATTTTTTATTATTTTTTTTTTTTTTTTACCTATAAAAGGTGCGTATAGAATACATATACGCCGGTTTGTGGGATTAATCAAAGTGGTGGTTGCGTTTATATATATATAGTGTGTGGGTGTAGTAAACGACTAATTATCGTTGAACCAATGAAACGGGCCGAGACTCATCGTCGTTTAGACCGCCGCCGACGCCGTCTTTTTATTTTTCGTTTTTTCAACACGGGTATAGATACATTTTTTTATTTTTATTATTATTATTATTATTATTATATCTTATCCCGGGTCTTATATATTTTTTATTATGTAGCTGTTATAATACACCGCGGCAGTCTTATACGATATCTCGACAAGTCCACAAGTTCGCGCGGGTTTTCAGTAATACCTGTAGCAGTCGTGGTACACAGTGATTGTTTTTTTTTTTTTTCGTGTTTTTATTCGTAATATTTGCTATTATTTTCCGTAACACTAATTTTTATAATATCGTAATATTATTGTAGACAGTGCGATAATCGATATCGTTCGAAATGACAGCGTTCGACATGGCTTACAATCCGTATGGCAGTTATCATCATTTGGCCGTGGACAACTGTAATGCGTCGTGCTACGAAAAAGTAAGACACGTGCATATTTATTACTGTCGCCTGTTTTTCTTTTGATCAAAAATATAAAACGGTTCACGTATGATTGATTGTATACGTATATTATGTTACACGGGTTATTTTTTTTTGTTTTTCTGAGCGAAGCGAGTAATCCACTGGTGTCTGTAAACAACCTGTTTTTACCGGAAATATTGTTCCAATCCAAAACTGTATCAGTACTTTTTTATAAGTATTTTTGATCATTAGATTATATTTATTATTTATACAAACATAAATTAAATTACTGTATACATGTCCATCGTCCATTTTTCAAATTTTCCTCCTAAAACAGTGGCACACCCATATCATGTGCAGTGTCAGCTTTTATTCTATATGAAATTAATCCAAGCTCGTGAAATCGATAACGCTTATAATCTATACAAAATAATAATACTACATAGATGAAAATAAAGCCGAAAATACTTAGCAATTTGCAACCGTAGATGACCACTACTGTAAGTGGGAAGTTTGAAATGTATAGGTTATATCGCACGGTTATATCTATACCTATAAGACAATTTAGTTTATATAGCGACAATAAATCATCACAGAATTAAAAAAACCATTCTGAGAGGAGCTCAATAGACTGACACGGTTATACACGTTATAGTACCTATTATATTTTTCCGCTGTGTAACCGAGGTAACCTGACAAAAGTAAAACCGATATAACGTTATTTGTTGTCAAGTACTTGTTTTTAAAATTTTATAGAAAACCCGTCCGAAAACTAGATATTTTTTCAAATATAGTAACAATCCGAATCTTTTATGGTAGGTACTATACATAATATATTTGTAAAATTTCGAATTATTTTACTCACAACAAATGTTTTTTAGGGGAGGGGGGGGGGTAAATGCGCTATTATTCAACCGCTCGTATAATATTCGCTATACACTTTGCTAAATTCATAAACTTTTAACTGCAGATTAATTATAATCGACCGATTTGATTTAAATTATATTTCTATTTCGTTTAAAATTATTACTATGCAATACAATCATTATTTTTCTCTATATTAATATAATATTTAATTTAATACTGGAATAATTACGCCATTAAAAAACCATAAATAACGCGGATATGAATAGTGTTTTTCCTATATTTCGAGGTAATTACTTAGGTTCCGCATGTGCAATTACAATAGCAATTTATTTTTTTACGAAATCCTTTACGCGATTGAAGGATAAACACCTAATTTTGTTATTACACTTGCAATGAATTCATTGACATTATAATTTATACTTATACGGATGGTCGTATGAAGATAAACTTGTAACTTATGTGTATAAATATTATTGTGTATATGTCGTGTATGTGTGTGTGTGTGTGTGTGTGTGTGTGTATGTGTTTTAATAAACTTACGTCGAATGGGTAATTTAAACAATTTAAAAAACTAGTTTCGTGTAAGCGCTTGTTAATCGAATAATCGGCTATATGTTAATAAGAATGGTTTTATAGGAATTATTTTAAATCTGTTTTTTTTTTCAATAATATTTGATTACATTTTTAATTGATTTTTTTTGTTTTTGTTTCATTGCGCATAATATAATGGTCATAACTCGTATCGTTCTATACGGACAGCCCGTACAGGTTCAATATAATAGTTGCGAAAACTATATTATCTATACTAGTATATTCGAATTTGAATTTACTTCGTGTTTTCGTGTCATAATATTCACTCGCGTCATATTCGTCGACATGCTTTACACCTTTTTTTGTTTTTTTTGCAAGCACGTAAAAAAAACACACATCATATATTATCATAGTAAAATCTATACGTATTTTTTGCCACGAGCTATACGCGGTCAGAATCTAAAAAAAGATCGGTGTGATAAATTTAATTTTCTGTTTGTTCTACCATCGTATGTTAACTATTGTAATGTACACAGCATCAATGCCATACTACGTCAATATGTCGGTTATACGTTATAAACTGGCCACTGGCGGTATATATGGGTTTATACAACCTGTTAGTAATTTAGTATATACGAGCGAACAGTATGTTTTTATTACGTTTAGCTCGCGGGCAAAAAACGGTGCAAAAACATTTAATGTTATAATATGTACAGTATATTATAGTCTACACTATATTATAATTTGTACTCGATACATTTTGTATCATATAACTCCTACGATATAATAATAATCAGATACACGTGCAAGTCTATCGGTATTTCGCGGTATACTTCTAAACGATCTGGTCCGGAGATGTGCTGCAGTGTCTCTAAAACTATTGTGTTGTCTTCAATATTAAGGTCGTAGAACGTGAGTGTGGCTAAGAGGCTATACCTTCCAACCCTTAATATACATATAGCTCACCCATGAAAAATAAAAAGCAAGGTTCTTCCGTTACCCTTTTTTTTTGGCCAAAAATGTACAAAATATATCAAAAGCTTATATCTACTATATCGTCGATAAAAAAATAAAATGTTTATAGTTTTTTGTGAGAAGCATATTTTTAATGAAATTGATAAAATATGAAAAAAAAAAATCTATTTAGTTTCCCACTGTTTAGAATCATTTCGTGTATCTCTATGGAAAATTAATATAGATACTTCGTAGGAAGCTTGAAAAATAGACTGTTTTTATTTGTACGACAATCTTTTAAAAACTAATTTTTCGAAAAACCAGTAGATAGTGCCTTTTCATTATCAGGTGACGACTCGCTCTTCTCCGTTATGATATCCTCACTGCTCCATCTACATAGTTGAATGATAATAGCTTTATACGCACACACGCACACACGATAATATATAGGCATACTATTGCTGGAAACGATCGATCGAAATATTAAAGTTTACCGTTTATATATTATTATTATATACGAGTATATTATAAATAGTGTGTGCGCATATTGTGTGTACCAACAACGCAAGAGTAGTGCGAGTGTACTAAACGGGCATATTAAATTATATTTATGGGCTCGTAAAACCGAAATCAGTCGCGGACCCGGTTTATATTGTAATATGCGCCACCGATGAAATTTATGACGTTTAGCTCATTAACCCCTTCATACCGGAGGTCATTGAGATCCCCATTGAGTTGCCCGTTAACTTTTTTGATATAGAACATAAATCAACCGGCGACAGTATTTATAATATTGTCAATGGTTTTTTTTTTTTTTTTTTTTTTTTTTTTTCATATAATATGTATACCTTTACGCGTGTGCATAAATATGATTGTGCACTCGTCGTCATTCTGTAATATTTACCGTAAAACAATTCGATTTATCATAATAAAGTTGATTGGACTTTTCCTACGTAGATTTGGCGCTTAATTTTAGACTCGGAACGGAATGAGGGATCTGTTGGATTCAGTGGCACAACCAGGATTTATTTTCGAAGAGAGTTTTATGAATTTGAAAAAAAAAGTCAATTTTGGATGTTATTTGTTGGAGTGGAGACACTAAGGTTAAATTAGGTTTATGGGTAAAATCTTAAAATTGTTGTTTAATTTTCATTTATAGACAACGCATATAGGAAAATAATTTGGATTCATATTAATTGTTTTTAAATATACTCTACTCATAGGTCTAATTATAAGTCGTAGTATGATAATAATAATAAATTATAGTCTAAAATTAATTTTTCGAGTAGAGTGCCTTACAATTTCATGAAACACTGAGTCTGGTTTAACTTTAATGTTTGTATGTATGTTTAAAGTGGCCATTCCATTAAGTCTTCGCTGACCTGTAGTGTTTCTTGAATAAGTTTTTATTCTCTTAAGTTTAGAAAATGATCTTTACTCTTCAGCTTAGGTGAATTTGGAAAATTGTACACGATGTATAGATATTCGAATTATTGAATATCTCTTAAGTTTAAAAGTGTATTCATTTTCATACTATTGAGGTATGATTTTTATAATATATGTTGTGAAGATATCCGTGCTTACGGTGTATTTATGCTACGCAGTATCGCATATCGACTAGGGGCTGCTTAAGCCACGCCAGAGGTCAAATAAATCTAATGAGCTTTCACGCTCCAATCTACGTAAATATTAACAAAATCTTAAATAATGTACAATGTTGTATGTAATGAATAAATGCTTTTTATTTGTTTATTTATTTTATAATATAAATTATAAGTAATAATAGTCCAAATTCACCAAGTCTAAATATAATTGACCACGTTTGCAAATAATAACCCAATACTATTCAGGGTTCCAACTGATATTTAACAAAAGCACATTAAAAAAGACGACCTAGGATAATGGGGACGGGTGCAGCCACTGTCATAGGTAATTCAATGTATACATGTTGGAAATGATAAACCATTGCTTACAAAATAACGATTCTGAGTGGAGTTCAGTTCATAGTGATGCTTTGTCAACTCTAAATATGTCATATAATAGTAAAATAATTAAATAGGCTCTATATATATTTTTTAATAATATTTGTTTAATGTTGTACCGATTTCTTCGGTTTTCCTAGTTTTTCCCAGTTTTTCACATTTACTGATAAAACTCCGGAGAAAATCGAAAAACGATCTATCTAAAATACCTCTTCAGTGAAATTTCCATTTAGAAAAATTGCTTTTGTTATAAGTCGTAGCAAAATTGCTGATTAGAAAATTTGTTTACAGGAAAAAAGATGACCGTAATATTTTTAACCAATACCTCCACTTTTTACATTTTTCCGTTTTCCTCGGTTTTTTTTTTTTAGTTAGAATACACCAGGGCCTAAATTGTGTGCAGTAGCACACACTATGTGTAGTGGCAAATTTAAAAGTGCGGAGTACTTATTTTCGACTTTTATACATTTTTATTTATTAATATCCAATATTGATTATTGAAAATAATAAAAATTACTAATTAGCAAGTATTAATTTAAAATCCTTAATACTAAAGAATAATACCGACTACATCGTCTTGGAGGCGCCGATAACGAAATTCGTCTTTTTTGTCTTGTCTGTCTAAATTTAATCCACATTAAGCAATTTTATATTGGCTTAAAGAAAAAAAAGTCATACTAAGGTATAGCCGTATATTGTTAAGCAGGAATGGTTTCAAGGGGTTTTTCTTCGAAGCTAAAGTCTCAAAAAGTATTTCTTTTACTAATCATAATAGTACCAAAGTTTGTTTTTAACTAAATTTATATAATTGTTTTAAATATAACACCGTGTTAAATGTTGTTCCCAGTAAAGTAGGTATTCGTTATTATTTAATAATATAATAAGTATATTAACCCAAGCTATTTAATTTATAATTTTAAAACTGCTAGTTATATATCAAGGACTTTTGTATTTATAGACAAGATTGTCTTAGATTGTATTTATTATAACTAATTATTAATAAAAACCAAAAACAATTAGGCAACGAAGTCATATATTACATGTGCACTACTAGGTCTATGTTTATTATTTTAAATATTATGGTGTGGACTTAAGTGTGCAGTAGCAAAATACCCTAATTTTAGGTCCTAGAATATAATCCTTAAAAGGTCCAGCAAAATCAGCATGTAATATATGGGCAGGTCCATCTGGTCATGGTCAATTATGTAATTTTGCCTTTTGTGAACTAGCATTTTCTCTCAAACATTTTTCACAGCCTTAAGTAATTTTCACAATTTATTTATCTATATTAAACCACTAACGGTATGATCTTGCAGTAGCTTTCAATTTTATTGTTCCCAAATGAGCAGAATGTAATTTTCCTAATAAATTAATTTGTAAACTTTTAGGAATTAAAACTCTAACATCCCTGGAGAAAAATTGCTGGTAGAAAAGATGTCCACAGAAAAAAAAAAAATAAATAAACATCTTTGTAAAACCATAAGCTTCTTCGCTCCACTCAGAATTTAAAATCCGTATGTAAAATCCTACAAAAAAAAAAATGTAAAGTAGTAGATGTTGAATGTTTTTCCCTAAAAAAATCACATATTTTTCTAGCTTTTAAAAAAAAGTGATCAGAACCTTGTTTAGGAAAAAAACTAATACCTAATTTATTATGAAATTCGCCTACAAAAATTTATTCAGAAAATCAATCGCTAATTTTATGTTAATACTTATGTTAAAAAATTTTTGTTGGTACTTTTTTTTTCAAAATACAATTTTTAAGCTATAAAATATACAGACGGACTCTATAATTTAATTTTTATTTAATACATCATAATAATAACGATCTGATAAAATATAAAATATTTACATCATTAAAAGTATGAAATACAAAATAATACCTGGAGCTTTGTGTGTCACAGTTGAAGTTGTGTGAGTATGGTCGAAGATACACACAAATTATATTGACTTATATTAATAATGTGTCCATTTGAGTGATACAATTAATCAAACTTGGTTTTAAATATCTAAAACACGTCAGACAAAGTCCGGACGTGTCCGAATCAAGTGGGTACATCATTATTATTTTTCTAAAACAAAATAATAATTACAACTATTGAAATAACAAAGTTACATAGATACTGTTAATAAAATACAACGGCCTATCAACAATGGTGTCGTTGCCATAGAGATTATTAATGAACGACAGTCATTCGTAAGTTTCCGACGGTATTCGAAAACACGTAATAATAAAATAACATAGTGATAAAATAAATGTAGATGTAACATAAATATATAGTAAAGGATGTCGTTTTTTGATATCTAAAGTAGTTTTCGTAATAATTGCGTAAAACAAACTATACGAAAAGTCGATTTTTTTGAAATTACGGCTCAACTATTTTATTATTTAAAATTTTTACGGCTAAGGTTTTCTGCCATTAATATACCTCAAATAGAAAAACGACACAAGACCTTTTATATTACATTTTTAATCTAATTCATGAGTAAGCTGTTTGTTTTTGTAATGGTTTTAAAAAATTCAAAAGTTTTGAAAAATAAAAACGGTCAAATTTACGGCGATAGGATTCCTTTATTTTAAACTGTTACGACTTATTTTTTCTGCTAAACATTTTACATAAAAAAAAAAAACAACAGGAGTTCTTTTTTGTTGTATTTTTAATCTAGTTGGTGACCAATAAAGTCATTTTTCAATTTTCTGTATAGTTTTTTTAATAATTGAGGAATCCGAAAAATCTTAAAAATAACCTAACACATTTATGAAAATAATTCTCCGTTTTTGTCGAATTGTTTTATCGATATATTAATTTACTTTTTAACCTTATAAACTAAATAAAACGAATAGAAAATAAGGTCTTTATTTGAAAAAACCGAAACACACAGGCCTGTTATCTGATTGTCTGCAATTATTATATTTTGAATGACTACAGCGATGACGTTGTTTTCCGTAGATTTACCTTTATTACTGCGTGCCTGTATGTAAAACCGCAATTATACATCGGTTATACTCTAATCGAAAAAATATGAAGGTTATTATAATATATAGGTATATATTCAACTTTTCATTTACTCGAAATTTAGATAAAAAACAACGAAATTATAATAATATCTAAATGTGATTACAGTAATATTACTTAAAGAAACCGTTATATTAAAAAATTATACAATATCTATCCCTATATCAACAAAAAAATGTTCATATACTGTTTTGATTTATGGTATTTGTCGAGTGAGAATAATTTAAAAGTTTTTCAGAGTAACAAAGTATTATCTATTTGGTTTGAGCAAAAAAAAAAAATAAAAAAAAATACGAGTTCAAAAGCTATATTTATGCTAGCTGTTTTCGAAACAATTAGGAAGTTTTTTTTTATTATTTTTTTTATCGAGTTAATAATACTACAGTTTCCAAGGATTTTTAATTTACTCGTGTGTATTTTATATATACGAGATAATATATATTATCTGTATATAAATCGTTTTAATTTCAAGTTCGCACGCATAATATGTTTTCTATTTTGTATTATTTGAAATTAATATCCAATTTAATGGTAGCGTCATTTTACAGAGGCAACTTGGGCATTTGCAGTTTTAGTTTTTTAATTTTTTACGGCCTTGTCGTATAATAATTCGGAATTTTAGTTGATCTCTTAGGCTTTTTGGTCTGGTAAAAAAATGACTAAATTTAATATCTTAATTCAATACCCATCCTTCTGTTCGTTATTATGCCCTTATTGTGCAGATAGCGATTCTCGTTTTAAAGTAACATGTGGTCAAATGTTCAATTTGCCTATTTTTCGACAAGTTTATACGATTTTTAATGACGATTTTTTTTTTCTGGTAAACAATAGGCTTTTACTCGTCTGCAGCAGCCGACAAATTTCATATAAATTTATTCCGGTCAGCTGCAACATCGTACCAATTAATGTCGAAATGACTACGTCACAGTGATCCAATGATAATTTAATATTTTAAAGAATATACGTGGCGTTTTTGATGTAAGCATACCCACACAAAAACAAATAAAAAAAATATTATGTCCTCTACACAATAATAATAATAATAAATGTGTTCGGTACTTATACCTTGTAATTTCCTAATAGTAGGTGTTGAACACTACTGC